TTTATCATGAATCTCAAAGATCATCTTTCGAAATTTCAAGCTAAGGCAGATGAAGAAATCTTTTTGGGATATTCACAAAATTCGGTTGCATACAGAGTATTGAACAAACGAACACAAAGAGTTGAAGAAACGTTTAATCTAACTTTTGATGATTATCATGTTAAACAAGTTGAAAAATCTTTTGATCAAAGGCCAATTATTAATGAATCAAAAGTTGAGTCTGAAAGTTGTAATTCATTTGATTTTGATTATGATTTAATTTTTGGTGTTCCAGATAGGGCTACTGATGCTGAAGTTAATGCTTCTGATTATCAAACATCTGAATCTTCGAAACACACTGATGATTCGACAATCACATCAGATTTAACTGCTAATGGCGAAAGTATGCTAGATGCACAAGTAGAGGGGGAGCACTTGAATACACCTTCAAATGTTGAGGGGGAGCATCCTTTCGAGGGGGAGAAGGGCAGTATGAATGATGATTTCGAGGGGGAGCATGAAAATGATAATTATGTTGAGGGGGAGCATAATGATACTGATACGATAAGTCTTAATCAAAATGATGAATTTCACGAACTTAGTGATAATATTTCTATTGCCGGTTCCGAAAATGAAGAAATGTACGAAGATGCACCATTGGAGTTTGATCCAACATATCCTCCAATGGAAAAATGGACTAGAGATCACCAGAAAGAACAAATCATTGGAAATCCACAAGATGGAGTGTTGACAAGAGCTCAGATTCGTGTAAAGAATGAGGTACTTAATGCTCATCAAGAGTTTTTCATGTTTAATGTTTTCATTTAAAAAATAGAGCCAAAAACAGTTAAGGTTGCAATGGAACACTCATATTGGGTTGTGGCTATGCAATCTGAACTAGCTGAGTTCGAACGAAATGAGGTTTGGAGATTAATTCCTAAACCTAAAATATGTTTCGATTGTTGGATTAAAATGGATTTTTAAAAACAAAACCGACAAAGATGGCAATATTATTCGAAACAAAGCTAGGCTTGTTGTTAAAGGATATTCGCAACAAGAAGCTATTGATTACGAAGAAGCCTTTGCCCCTGTCGCAAGACTCGAGGCTGTTCGAATATTTCTGGCCTATGCAGCTCATAAAGATTTCGATGTTTATCAAATGGATGTGAAGCGTGCTTTTCTCAATGGTGAACTCCAAGAAACAGTTTATGTAGAACAACCTCTAGGTTTCGTAGATGAAAAATATCCTGATCATGTTTACATTTTAGATAAAGCAGTATATGGGTTAAAACAAGCACCAAGAGCCTGGTATGCAACTCCTACAAATTTCTTAAAACAGTCGAAATTTAAATAAGGATCAGTTGACCCCACATTATTTCGAAAGAAAGTTAGGAATCATCTAATGCTTGTTCAAATTTATGTCGATGATATTATTTTTGGCTCTACTGACCCTGCTTTGTCTAGTGAATTCGAAAGTCTGATGAAAAGCCAATTTGAAATGAGTATGATGGGCAAAATAAATAACTTTTTGGGCCTAAATATTCATCAAAGCAGAGAAGGAATTTTCATCAATCAAGAAAAGTATACGAAGAATTTTCATCAATGGCGGTTGGAACAAGGCTAACACCTTCGTTAGATAAACCGACTGTTGATCTTACTTTGTATAGGAGCATGATAGGTTCGTTACTTTATCTTACAACAAGTTGACCTGATATCATGTTTTCTGTATGTAATTGTGCTAGGTATCAAGCAAATCCAAGAGAACCACACTTAACTGCAGTAAAAAATATTTTTCGTTATCTCAAGGGAACAATTTTGTTAGGATTATGGTATCCTTCGAAATAAGGATTTTTCATACAAGATTTTTCAGATGCGGATCTTGGAGGATGTACTCTTGATAGGAAAAGTACAAGTGGAGGATGTCAATTGTTGGATGGGAAGCTTGTAAGTTGGAAATCGAAAAAGCAAACTTGTGTTGCAATTTCAACTGCTGAAGCTGAGTATGTTGCAGCTGTTGCTTGCACTTCGCAAATTATCTGTATCCAAAGCCAATTGCGTGATTATGCAATTAACATGAAAAAGTTACCATTGTATTGTGATTCGCAAAGTGCTATACGCATTTGTCATAATCCAGTACAACATTCAAAAACAAAACACATCGCACTTCGTTATCATTTTATTAAGGATCATGTGGAAGATGGAAATATCGAAGTTCATTTTGTGAAAACAACTGATCAGCTTGCTGATATTTTCACAAAACCATTGGACGAAAAATCGTTTATTAGAATTTTGACAGGGTTGGGAATGATTGAATCAAGTTCTGTTCCAGGACTACTTTTGAAAGAATAACAAGGAAAGAAGAAGAAAAAGTGTCGATTCAGAGGCATTAGTGTATGATTCAGAGGCGTATAGTATTAACCATTCAGAGGTTACTGTTCACGTTTAGCGCTTCGATACACTTCGTTTTCGACAATTGGGAAAGAAACTTTTCATTAGTTTGGTACACTCTTAAATTTTCGTCTGTTTTTAGTTTTCGAAAATTTTGAAAAACCCAAAAATATTTTCGTTCATTTACGTTCTTTTTCAAAAAATTTAAAATCACACAAATATTTTTCTTCTTTTTCAAAAACATAAAATCCAAAAAGATTTTTGTTATTTTGTACTTCGTCTTTTCTTTCTTAGTGCAGATTCTAAGGAAGTTTTACAAGGATCATGCTTGCATTTCTAGGGAAAGGTATACTATCGAAACTTTGTACTAGTTAGAATGTCCCTAGAAGCATGCTGCAGCATGTCGACCTAAGCCTCCACTGACTCAATGTGTGATTTCAAAAGCCTTAATGAAAATTTTCATCATGAAAATTTCTTCCCAATCAGGCTTACATTCACATTAGTCTACTGATCTACCTAACTCTTTTCAACTGAGTTAAGAGTTTTCTGTTTGGCCCAATCATAACAGAGGTACAATTGGATTCATAAACCAATCTTTTTCATCTCAAAATTCTAACACATTTCACACACAATGACATATGTCCAAGAGGTCTCTGATCAAACCAATCGACACTTAGACATATCAAAACTCTGTTTTAATGATCTTGATTCATGAGGCCGTGGAGAAAGTGAAACCCAATTTTCTAACCAATTAAGGAATTGACGGGGAACTATGTTCCAGATTTTAACGAAACATTTGTTTTAGTACCAATTTTTCGATACTCCAAATCATATTCTTTCGGTATGAGTAATCTTGATCAAATGTTCGAAGCCCACGACATTTGTTTCCCAACAGGATCCAGCTGAAATATATTTTTTTTAATATGATTTACGTGTGAGTATCAATTCTTATCTTTCGTCACTGTCAAATTAATCCAAAGCAAACTTGTCCCTGACCACACTGGCCAAACAAGTAACTTCTGTTGCAATTACTCACCTTATGTTTAGGTTGATATGTAACGAAATTCTTAAGCCACTCACGAAGCCTTGAAAAAGAGGCCCTTCGATACTTCTCTATAAGTATTCGATTGTAATTCACGGGAAACCACACAAGCAGCTGATTATCTCTTTTGATAATTAGTGAAGCAACCTTTTCCCGGGGTTTAACTGCTTTTGTGTCGAAATTTTAATTTTCGACATCACAGAATCCAAATTTTTGTTAATTTGCATCTTATCTCATGTTATTGGCACACTGCACTCACGAAATCCTTGAGGTTCTGAGTAATACCAACTCAAGCTGAAGATTTCGCAAGTCTGGCGTATGACTTCGTTTATAAGCCCAAAAACGAAAGAGCCTTGCCTCCATGCCGAAGGTTTTCATTCTTATCCAAAAAGGGGTACTCACGAACAGTTTTGATGTAACCGTTTGGCAACTTGATTCGAGTTTCAAGGTACTTTATCTGACATGGCGTGTTTAACGGCTAGTGGCATAAATTTCAAGGAGAGACATGGCCTACTCATTAATGACAACGTTTGAAATTCAATTAGGGTTACATATAAAAGGAAATTATTTTTCCTTTGTTCATTACGCATTCAAAAACTCTTAGACGACCAAAAAGCCCTAATTTCCAGTTTTCAAAATTTCCTTCAAGACTTCATCAATGGCTGTTGTTCTTAACTCCAACACTGAAGAAGTCGCATCACAACCACTTATGAAGATCCATAGCACAAACTATCAGGTTGAGGGTGATGTTACTTTATACCCTGAGGAGTTGAAGATGTTGATCGTCGCGCTTCAACATTCTGGATTGGCTACTGCTATGTTCAATTCTTTTGCAGTTCCGTTGTCTTGGCTATCCATGGCTGCCTCTTGGCTATACGGGAAAGCCACAAACATCATTACTTTCAATCTCGTCAATGAGAAGAGGATTCGACTTACCAAGAAGATGTTTACTCAAATCTTGGAAATCCCTAATTTCCTACCATTCTTCAAGCCCTCAAATGATCAAATCATGTTCATGTTCAATGAGATGGGTCATCAGCCCCCACTCACCAAAATCAGCGACTTCAAGAAGTATGGTTTACCCTGCATATGGAACTTCTTCTTTGGAATTTATCTTCGTTGCCTAACTGGTCAAAGTGTTGGTCTCAAAAAAGGAAGGATTGAAGTGTATGCAATGGTATGGGCTTGTACTATGATCTGAGTGTAGACTACACAACTCAAATGTGGAAGGAGTTTGTGAAAATCTTGGAAAATACTAACATGGTGAAGGGTATTTCTTGTGCAATATATTGGAGTCTCATTCTTGAGAAGATCTACGAAAAGGAAGGAATTCAAGTTCCTGCCGATGAAGTCAAGGAAGAATTTACAAAGTATCATTTTCCGAAGTTTGTTGAAGATGATTCGAAAATCTTTCCCAATGTTGCTCGAATTCCTGATGGGATGTTGAAGAAGGTTGCTCCAACAAACAAAGTCATGATTTATTACTTGAAAACTGTGAATTCTACGGTCCAAACTGGAGTGTTATTGGTTGATGATAGATCTTTAAAGAAAGTCAAGAAGTCGAAGAAGAACACTGTTGAAGTTGTTGTTCATGAAAGCACTAAAAAGGTTGAGATTCCTAAGAAAGAATGATGGTGATCAGGAGAAGGCTACAAAGAAAGTTGAAAAGCCTAAGGAGATTATTATTGAAGAATCTTCGAAGGAATTGATTCCTTCGAAATCTGGTGTACTTAAGAAATTAAGGAAGTTATCTCACACGACACGAACTTCATTAGATGATCAATCTCCAATCGTTCATAAAGCTCAACTGAATAGAAAGGGGGTAAAAGTTCGTGAGATTCCAGCACCAGTCTCACCATTGTCAAAGAAACGAAGAGCTGAGGAGATGGCCAAACATATAGCTAAGAAGACAAAGAAACGAAAGTTGATTGTTCGTGAAGGGTCATCCGAAAGTAAAATCGTTCTAGAAACTCCTTTGGGATTGACTTCTTCAAAGGTATCCACTCCAATTATTACTTCGACAGTTCCACCAACTGCAACCACTATTCCACTCGAAATTGGTGTAATCAAATCAGCTACTGAGGAGATTCCCATTTCTGACTTTCGTACAAACGTATCTGATACGGGCGTTGAAGTCAACATGAGTGTTGATCATACGAAGTCTGTTTCAGAAGGTATTCCTATTTTTTCCTCATCTATAGTGACTTCGACTGTAGATACATCTTTACCTCATTTCGTTACTCAAACAAAAACCATCACCACATCACCAACATTCGAAAATATCCTACAACAACCTATCACAACCCTCTTTCACTCACAATCCACCGACTCACCAAAGCCAAATTCCGATGATGAAACAGACGGAGGGGGTTTCGGAGGAACTCTTGAAGAATTACATTTTGATTTGGAAGAAGAGGATATTCCTGATCATATGCTAATGTCAGGAAAACAATTCAAGATTCTGAATAGAAAACTCAACTCTATTCTACAATCTCAAGCTGATTCTGGAGCTAAGAATTCGGTTTCAGGAATAGAGGTTGATGTAATACTAAAAGATGTTGAGCTTAAATTACAGAAGCAATTAGATATGGTCGATAAAAACAATGAGCTTCGGGTCAAAGCTGAAGGAGAGTTGTTTAATTCTGAAGTTAAAGAACTTAAAAATACTACAAAAGAACGTCATGTTCTTTTTGTACAAGACGTAAAGAAAGTTTGTGAAGATGTGAACTTGAAGTTAGAAGATATGAAGGTAAATGTTACGAAAGAAATTCAAGAACTTCATTCAAACTATTCTTCTCTTCAAGACAAGGTTGATACCATAGCTGCTGCGGTGACCAAGGTTGTCGAATGTTATCAATCATTGGTACCCAAAGTTGAAGCCAAGTCAAGTTCGGATGTTTTAGAGTTTGAGAAGCTGGGAGGTTTGCTAGATGAAGTGAAGGAAATTGTTTCGAAAGCCACTCCAACGTCTTTGCTTACACCTGAGTTTTTAACTCAGAAACTTCACGTCTTGGATCAAGCGATACAGAAAGCTGTGGCTCCAATCACAAAATTTGCTCAGATGTTGCCTACAAGTGCCCCACCTGCTGTCACAGGGATGCAAGGGGGAGAAAAGAAAGTTGGTGAAGGCAAAAGAAAATTTTCGGATGTCACGAAAGCAGCTGATAAGTTGAAGAAGGATGAAAAGGTTGTAACTACTAATATTCCAGCGAAAGTTGTTTCTACTTAAATTCCTACTCCCATAATTTCGAAAGTCACAATAGAAGCAATCAAAACAACACCAAGACCCATTGTAAAGGGAATTATTATTGGTTCTTCTATAGAAGGAGGAAGTTCAAGTTCGTTAAAACCAAAACATTCTAATGTTGGTAAAGGGAAGGGAATTGCTGTTGAAAAATCGAAGGAGGAGAAGAAAGTTGAGATAGAAGCAGAATTGGAGAAACAAAGACAAATCCAAAGCATACTTAGACTTCGTGAAAGTGATCCACCTGAGATGGAAAAGGGAGATCCGAAGAAGCTTTACAGTTACGAAAGTATTGAATCTAGGGTTGCGTTTAATCACATGCATGCTTTTGAGAAGAAGCCCAAGAAAAGTTATTCGATTGCAAACACTGATATGAGCCAACTTGATTTTCCTGTAAATGAGATGAGGTTCATCATGGCTCAGTACAAAATAATAGAGAAGTTCGACAACTAAGATGATTATATCCACATGAAGATCTGATTTCATGTTGTCGTTGGAAAAGAACCTGATGAGATTTGGTCACTTGTGAAGATAAAGAAAGTTGTTGGCATAACGAAGGATGTTTTATTCGAGAACATAATCCAAAACTTTCGATATCATGTTGTTCGTGCAAATAATCAAGTCTGTGATTTCTCAGTTGCTGATTTTCCCTTAATGAACTTAAACGACTTGATTCAAGTGGCATCAATTCTGAAGGATATGGAGGCTTCACAACTGAAAGGGACTGACAAAGACGTATTCAGACTTGGCCTTGAACATATCAAGATCTTCATAGACAATTACTATGATTATCTAGCATTGTCTGATGTGGAGTTACCATCAGCAATGGGAAGAGAAGTGAATGTGGCAATGGAGACAACGAAGCCACAAGCAGAGTTAAAGAAGTATTTTGACGGAGAAATATGCTTGAAGCCATTTGGTCTTGTATTTTCTGGAAAAGACAAGAAGGGAAAGGCGAAGAGATTTTTGTTTCAAGCTTCGGAGATCGAACGTTATACAACTTCACAATATACGAATTTCATAGTTCGTATGAATAGTTGTACAAAGAATAATGAAGGAGACAAGACCGAGTTAAGGAAGATTTTGACTTGGTATACAGAAATTCGAAGGATGATGAACTTCGCTGCTCAGATTCTCACGAATTGAGTAGTTCGACTTGTTTACAAAGGGGGAGATTGTAGAGTCGAAATGTTGTAAAAAGTCGAAGTGTGTATTTTGATGTTTCGTTTGTTTTATGAATTTGCTAAGTCACTTTGTTTACGGAGCATAATGTCTAGACTTTGTATTTTTTGTACTTCCAGCCTCCTATAAATAGGAGTGGAACCTAGAGTTATATAGAGAGTTCTTCCAACTTCTTTGTCTAAATTTTGTACTCTGTGTTCTTGGAAGTAAATGAGCTAAACAGAATTATTTACTTCTTGTGTTCATCACTTACTTTACTCTGATTCTATTTGATTTCTCGTTACAATTCTACTACACAACTCACATGTCTTGGTTTCAAGAATATAAGATATTATCGTCTCACAATCACTCGTGATAAAATCAATGAAGTGATTCAGATGAGTGTGGGTTTAATCCAATACTCAAATCTTATTACAGGAGTACTCATGAACATTGCAGCAAACTTGTGCTATGTCTAAACGCCTTTAGACAATCTACAGACCCATTAATGACAGTCTAGCTTCAATACCTACTTTGCAAAGTATGATCGACTGTGGATGGTTTAAATAACCTAGTTATTCGGGAATTCAAAACATGCAAAGTGAAACACAAGAATAATTGAATCCAATATGGTCTCAGAACTTATGAATATAAATAAAACACCTTTCATTTAATCACCATATTGATTACACATTATTCCTTGTATAATGTTTCGATTTATCAACTTAATACTTGAATTAAAACAATAGTTATCCCATGCTCCAAGTATATGTTTGCCTATGGTCCTTTCTTTGTGAAATAGATCGATTGAGCACATCTTCAATGAAGCTCATTTCACAATTCCAAATCTTTACCGTAAATGTAAGAATACCAAATTCTTGTCATTTACTGTAATCTGTTAGATTCTAAACTTATATGCAATGATCCTCTTGTAATAACTATGCACAAAAGTCACACAGACTTGGAAAAATACATAACAAAGTATTCCAATGGAGATCAATTCCATGGAAACGAAGTCTCACATTAAAAATACATTCCTTTGAACATCCTTCTTGCATTAAGTTTTCTAATCTTACGAAGATTTAAAGAATAACTTCCGCTGATGGAAACATTTCCATATTCTTATTTTGACTATCACTTCTGAACAAGAGTTACCTCTTCTTAGAGTATGTCAATATGTGTGACATCCCCATTTTTCACGGCCAGAAAAGACCGATTTTGTTTATGCTTTATAAAAATCAGAGTACTTCTTTTAATAAAAATGTTGCGGAATTTGTTCCCAGAAAAACATGATAAATACGTTATCAAAGCATTTCCGAAGAAATGTATTTTTATCCATTTTAAAACATTTGGGATGTCATTGTCAATACAAAAACATAAGCATAAACAGAACTTACATTCATTTACACTAGTGATCTACATCTCTTTTAAATCCCTCAGTGTAAAGTAGCTTCATATCGACACCTGTGATACAAATAAGCTTGAGTGGGTCAGGTTGGGAAACCTGGTGAGTACATACGGTTTTCAACCCACAATAATTTAATTATTATGTTTAAAAATCAAACAATCAACCCAATTACCCATCCCCATTATCTTCCTTACTCTTAAGGATCTACCCTAAGAATTATCTATCCTGCATTCGTTCATTTCGAAGCCCATTGCTTCCAGGGTTTATATGATAGGCACTAAGTCCATAGCTGCCAATGCTTGTTTGTAAAGCACTAATTCCATAGCTGCTAAAGTTCATTCATCGGGTACGAAATCCATAGCTACCGGTGTTTAGCTAATAGGTACTAAATCCATAGCTACCAACGTTTATTTAACAGGTACTAAGTCCATAGCTACCAATGTTTATTCTATAGGCACTAAGTCCATAGTTGCCGATGTTATTTGTTAGGCACTAAGTCTATAGCTGCCAATGTTCACTCATATCATCTTTCATCTCTCATCATTCATTTACCCATATTTTACCCAACACATTCGTAGATATAAAATACATATACATTTTAAATTATTTAAAACATGTATAAAATCGTTCATCCAACATAGAAAGCAAGTATTCAAATAATATGCACACATACCACGTAGTTTATATAAAATACTTCATATCAATGTGTAAGATGAAAGTAACTATGCACTCACTTGAAAAGGTGGTGAATCCGAACTCAGACAGCGCTTCGCTTCTTAAAAATAATTTCTTTCGACGAAACCTAGTATTATTACCACTAGAGTTTAGTCTATTATTCACCGAGACTAATTAATAGTCTAGCTATTATTACTATTATATAAGCGTTAAACAATACTTATATAACCCATAATAATATCCCAAGTATTTATTATAAGTTCCTAATAACGTTACTATAATTAAATAAACGATATATTAAAAATAGCGTAGGATTAGCTCACTTACAGCGGGTTTTATAGAAAACCGGGCTTTTCTTGGAGCAGCGTTCCCGAGCCGAAAATCTCTTCTTCTCGGAGCCGTCGAGCACTCTGGGGCTTCCGCCTCGTGCTAGGGAGGTTCCCTAGGCTTTTCGGGGGGTTTCGGGGCTAGAGAGAGGTTCTAGAGAGAGAGAGAGTAAAGAGAAGAAAGAATGGGAAAGGTGTAAAGAAAATGAGGATGGGAGAGGTTCTATTTATAGGGTGAAAAATGGCTGAACTTGGTGCCACATGTCACCATCTAGTGGCAAGACTTGGGGAGAAAGCAATTGCCTAGATTTTCCACATCACCCATTTTCGCACAGCACCATTCCGACTTCTAAAATCTGTAACTTTCACATACGACCTCCGTTTTTAACATTCTTTATATTCACGTATAGGTAAAAATAAGATCTACAACTTTCATTTTGACTCCGTCCGCTAATTCTCGACCGATCTTAAATTTAACAGTACGAGGAGCTTATACTGTTAAATGTCCGCGTAAAATTCATAACTTCTACATACGGACTCTGTTTTCGTCTGTCTTTTTACCGTTGAGTTCCTATTAATGAGATCTTCAATTCTCATTTAGGTCGCGTAGGCCAAAAACCGCTCGATCTAAAATTCGAGTTTCGGGCTGTA